AATGGATCAGATCTTGAACAAGGTTGGATCGTATTGGTTAGGTAAGAAGGCGAACAAGCAGCTCGATTCCGTCGGTGACGATATCAACGTACGTGTTTCTCTCACTCCTTTCACTACCACTACTTACGATTTTGGGTTTCGATTTCTGATTTCGATCCGATGCTTTTGAGAATTTTGATTCATGTCTTTATCGATTTCTAGTTCTGTGGATTCTCAATTGATCTGTGTCGCTTAGTTCTGGTATAAATGGTGGTGTAGCTCGTTGATTCTTCACTTAGTAGTCCAATTACGCTTGATCTCTGCTTTTTTTCTAGTCGCATCTTCATAGGATATTGTATAAGAATTTACTGATATTCTCCAATTTAGAGAACGTTTGTGGTAATATTAAGTGAATTGCGTCGTAAAAGGAAGAAGATCTTTAAGTGTAGATAACATCTAAACTTTTTCATTTTCAGATTCAATATTCCCTTTTCCAGACTGTATCATGTTAATGTTAGCGATTCTCATCAAGGATCTCATGCTCATCGAGATATTTTTTTCTTGTGAATCAGTGGATTTGATGCAAGTTATGTACTTTGAGTTTCTTCAGAATGTTCTGATTATATCTCCCCTGTTAGTTCAACTATGCAAATGTTGATTTTCCATAATCTGTTACATTCTTTGTTTCAGTCTCTGTCTACAACCATCGAAGGAGGAACAAAATGGTTGGTGAACAAAATCAAAGGTCAGTTTTGTTCTCTACTCATTCTTGCTGTTTCATTTGACATTTAAGGAGCAACATCATTCCTCAATTATTGGTTTCCAATCTCGTTATCAGGGAAAATGCAGAAGCCATTGCCCGAGTTACTAAAGGAGTTTAATTTGCCTGTTGGGATCTTTCCACGCGATGCAACCAACTACGAGTTCAATGAACAGACGAGGAAGCTAACCGTCTTTATTCCATCAATCTGCGAAGTTGGCTACAAAGATTCATCAGTCTTGAGATTCACCACAACAGTTACCGGATTCCTTGAGAAAGGAAAGCTAGCCGATGTTGAAGGGATGAAAACAAAAGTAATGATATGGGTTAAAGTCACAAGTATCTCTGCAGATCCATCAAAGGTTCATTTCATGGCAGGGATGAAGAAAAGCAGAAGCCGTGATGCTTATGAGGTTCTAAGAGACGGCGTTGAGATTGGTAAATTCTAGCGCTCTGCTTTGCGCGGGTAATTCCCAATTCTTTAATCCTCTTTCTCTGATCTTTATCGTCTAAGCTTCAAGTTTCTTCTTCTCTTTTCTTTATACCGGTTTTTGTAGATACAAAGTTTCAATTAACTTTGGAGTTCATGAATTCGATGAACTGATGAAGATGGTAACTCTATACACTAAAAGTAAAGCATGTTCTTAAGTCTCTCTATCTTTAATCTTTAATCAAATGACCAGAGCTAGTCCTAATTATTCTCTAAGCAACACACATTATTGACGCGTTTAATAGTAAGGGAAATAGAAATGATATAATTCATAAGTAGAAACCATAAAGAAGAATACATAGACCACATTACACAATTTCTTGTGACAACGGACTGAGAACACAAATACTGATGACAAGTAACTAAAAACAGTAGCGATTGCAGATAACATTAAGAGAAACAGAGAGAGTTACACATGTGACTGTCACTCACAAAACCTCATCTCCAAATAACATTAGGCCTTATTCAGTGACCTTCTCTTTTACTTCTTTTTGCCATTTGGTGCCTTAGCCTCAGTTCCCTTTGGGGAGTTAAGCTCTTCCCAAGCTTCGATCCAAGTGACCATTTCAACTGCAAGCTTGTTGAAGTAAGGATCCACCTTCCCGAGTTTCTCTTTCACGAGCCTAGCCAGCTCGAGGTAGCATTGCTGCACCGAAGTGCATTCTTTTGGAAGGGTCACAGATTGAAAGAAAGGTATCGCTTCTTCCTGCCAGAAGATTCCATTGTATTCTTTCTTCAAGTTCACGAATGGGTTGCTTGCTTTGCTGTGCCATATATAAGGCAGACCAGTCTTCACTCCCCATCCCATGTGGTCACATATCACCTACATTTTTGGTTACACATGCAATGGTTATGACTTATGACTTCTCTCATTAAAACAAAAGATGGAATTTGCATTTGACTAGGACATGTAGTATTTTGTATAAGTGATGTCATTGTGTCACCACTTGGGATTCAAATTCACATAATGTATATTGTTAACAATAAGAAACTATATGAATTGCATTTACCTTGACACACCAACCAGCCCACATGTCATCGTAGCGTCCGATCGGCTGTCCGTCACCCATAAGTCCAAAGTACATAGCCGGGCCAATCAGCTCCCGGTCAAAAGCGAGGTTCATACCGCACATAGGGAAAAGAGTTCCCTTAGGAATAGTCATGACTGCATCAACATACCTGCATATAACCAAAGAACTGACCAATAAGCAAAACAAAAGCATTGCTTATAGTTCAAGCAGGGAAGAATAACAAATACAATTAGTTGCCTAAGTGAGAAATCAAATTTCCTGGAATTTCTTTCAAGAGGTTTCACAAGCTGGGTGGGAGCATCATAGTCAGGGATGTTGAGCCAGAGGCCATGAGAGACCGCGGTTATGGCACCTTCGCGCATACTAAAAGGGTATCCACGAACAAAGTCTGCTCCATCTCTGTATGGATCATAAAGTGTGTTAAAGAAGTCTGGAGTTGATGGAGATAAGAGGTTCTTGATATGCTGCTCAAGCGCGTTGATCTCTTTTCCAGATGGATCCTTTGCAACCTACATAGCACATATCATATTGTCAACTTTGAGATCAAAATTATCAATCAATGATTCATATTCACCGAAATAAATCAACTAAAAGTGTAAAATCTAGTTAAATTTCCAAAAAAACAGAGCACTTACAAAGCAATCATCATCAATGGTGTAGATGTACTTCTTCTTGGACACCATGTAACCGAAGCAACGACAAGCAGAGTCCTTAAAAGAAATGCAAGAAGCCTTGGAACCTAAGATTCTATTGATGTCGTTTCTGTTGTAGAGCTCGTAGTCAAACCCTTCAGGAATCTTGATGGCTTTCGAAGGATCACCATCTTGAACAATGATCAAATGGTACTGCTCAAAGAACGGTCTCCACCTCTCAAGAAAATCAAGGTTTCGAATCGTAGGTATCACGATATCTAGCTCATCTTTCAGCATTGGTGTGGGTTTCATCGAATAATACAGTTGCGCCATTTCAAAACGATTGGGAAGAAAGAGTAAGCTTATGCACAAAGAAGCAA